TACCCATACAGAAAAATGTATAAAATGTGCAGTTTAAAAAGTTACTCAGAATTTTGTTGTTGTTGTTTCGAGACAGGGTTTCTCTGTATTGCTTTGCAGGCTGTCCTAGAATTCTCTGTGTAGACCAGGTTGTCCTCGAACTCACAGAGATCCACCTGCCTCTGCCTCCCAAGTGCTGGGGTTAAAGGCATGTGGCACCTCCACCTGGCTTTTTTGTTTTTTTGTTTTGTTTTGTTTTGTTTTAGTTACTCAGAATTTTCTCTTGGAAGAAATTTTATGAAGGACACCAACCCACCCTGTCAGACAATAGTAGGACTTCAATAACCATGTGATTTTTTTAAAAAAAGATTTATTTATTTACTTATTATGTGTATGTGTATAGTAGTGTTCTGCCTGCATGTATGCATGCCAGAAGATCTCATTATAGAAGATTGTGAGCCACCATGTGGTTGCTGGGAATTGAACTCAGGACCTCTGGAAGAGCAGCCACTGCTCTTCACCTCTGAGCCATCTCTCCAGCCTCCCATGTGATTTTCTATGTGGCTTTTAAAATGTCATGTATGCCTCTAGTTGAGTTTAAAGTGAAATATTAAAAGTGATGTGCTACAAAAAAAAAGTTACTCAGAGACTCTTGGGATTGGCAGTCAGGGTTAGAATTTCTTGCTTTATTCTTTTCAAACCAATCCTATGTTGTTTGTTTTAGTTTTACAAACAAACACTAAAGCAAAATGTTTGCTGAAGGTAAATTTCAAACTTCAGATTTTACATGTTGTTTTTAGAGACAGAAATATAAACAAATCATAGCCCTGTAAAAAGACAAAAACAAACCAAAAAACCAGCAAATGTAGAGCAAGGCACCAAAATAGGGTGTGGTTCAGTCAGCTGCATCAAAAACATAATCAGACCACCAGAGGGAGCAGCAGAGGCTCCTGCAGAGATGTGAGAAGCAGAGTTAGAAGCCAAGGGCGGGTGCACCAAATGTGAGGACAGCTAGAGCTCTGCGTGCTGAAAGCTTACATTCAGTCTCTTTTTGAGACAGCTTTCTGTTAGTCTGGGGGTCTTGATTGGGTTAGTCTTGTTTGCCAGTTAAAGATAAAAACGCAGGAAAACCCCCAAATGCCACAGGGTTATGGCAGGGGCAACAGCAGGTCTCAGACACAGCAGGAGCTGATGAAGAAGGCTGTTACTAGTGTGAGGAAATACAAACACAGCAAGGCACACAGGGAAAAAGGAAGCAGACAGGGACTTGGGAAGCTGAAGCCCAGTCTCCTTGAGGTCTGGGGGTCTCTGAGGGAGGTCTTCCTTCCTCAACTTAGGGTGGTCAGTTTGAACCAAGACTGGGAGGCTGGTAGATCCACAGCTTTGGGGTAGAGATGTCCTAGTCTGACCTCAGACTTGTAGGACCAGACAACAAGTAGAGCCCACAGGAAGTTTACTATTTTTATTCTCTAAGCCTGGCCCCTTTATCTGCCTATTACGGAATCTGTCTCAACTCCTAGTCCCTCAGTATAGTTAATAGGTTTCTGTAAGGAGCAGTGTGCACATACAGTTGGCACACCAAATGCCATGCAGTACAAGCTCCTATACTTGCCAGAGAGGAAAGCAGGGCTTCAGAGGATGGTGCCTAGTGGATATGAGATGCCGGGGACTCCTTTAGAGTAGCTTTGGAATGACATTCCTTTCTACCCTGGTAATTTCATCTTGTGAGTAGATTGCTGTCAATGTGAACTTACTAGAAAAGAAAACCTCTTTAGGATTGCAGATGTCTGTCTCTCCCTCTCTCCCTCTCTCTTTATGGGGCCTGTTAATGTAGTAAGATGACACTTTGGGGACCTGTATAAGTTACTTTTCTGTTGCCTTGGAAGAATGCCCTGGCTAAAAGCAGCTTACTAGGAGAACAAATTTCCTTTAGGGAAGACATGGTGGCAGGAGCAGGGGGCTGACGGGTCAGACCTCATCTACACACGGGAAGCGGGATCAAGCTAAAACCTCCACACCTGTACAGTACTTCCTTCCAGCAAGGTCCTGCCTCCTGAGGGTTTCACAACACGCCAAGCAGCACCACAGCCTGGGAGCCAAGTGTTCAAAAGCATAGGAACCTGTGGGGACATTCCTCATTCCAGGCACTACAGGACAATGGGGCTTGTGGAGGCTGGAGTGGAGCTGAGGTCACCAGGGTCAGCAAAAGTGTGCTGCTGGTTTACTTCTAGTGCATTAATACCCTAGAGCAGCTCACACACATGATGGACACTAAAGCCAGAGTGCCTTTTAGAAAGGTCTTCCCACGCCTCTTTTCTCCTTGGTGCTAGGCACCAAATCCCTGGCTTTGTGCATGCAAAACAAGCATTCTACCAACTGAGCTATTCCCCAGCCCCAGAAACAGGCTCTTGATCTAACTCTCCCTCCCACTCTCTATCTTTTTGGGGGGAGGGGTGTTCAAGACAGGGTTTCTCTGTATGGTCCTGACTGTCCTGGAACTCGATCTGTAGACCAGGTTGGTCCAACTCACAGAGATCCAGCTTCTGTCTATCTTTAAAAAAAAAAAAAAAAAACAAAAAACCTAAGGCCTCACTATATAGCCTTAGGTGGCTTGGAACTCTATGTGGCCTCTCACTGAGATCCATCTGCCTCTGCCTGTAGAGTGCTGGGATTAAAGGTGTGAGCCTCCACACCAAGTTTAGAAACAATGTTAATAGCCCAAGCTATACTTGAATGATTCTGATCTTCCTGTCTTGGCTTCCCAAGCATGCACACCATCATGTTTGACATGCCAACACTTTTTTCCCAATTTTTTTTTTTGTTTGTTTTGTTTTGAGAAAAGATCTCACAGTGTAGCCCTGACTAGCCTGAAAATCATTGTGTAGACTAAGCTAGCCTTAATACACACACACACACACACACACACACACACACACACACACACACCCCTAAACTTCAGCACCTCCCAAGTGCTGAAGTTAAAGGTGTGAGCCACCATGTCTGGCTTTGCCCTTTCTTGTCTTTCCATTGACTCACTTCCTATTTTCAACCAGTCTCCCTTTACTTTGATGTTTGTTTTGATGACCCTGTGAGTTTAATTAGGTCTGCTCACATGATCACTAATGAGCTAATTCAGGAGCATGGGCAATTTACCAGTGGCTCCTGCCTCAGCCATCATTATCTGTCAGCAACTCTTTAGGAAGGTATGAAGCCTGGTGAACCCTTCAGTCCATAACAGGGTGCTGGCAGGCCTAACTGTATGCAGTTCTCCTGTAAGTAATCACAGCTGCTATGAGGCCAAGTCAGTGGCTCACACACTCTTCCCAATCCTCCAGCCTTACATCCTTTACTCTTCTTCCAGGGTGTTCCCTGAGCCTTGAGAGGGCTGATAACCATATTGCATTATGGCCAAGCATTCGGTTGTTGCTATTCTCAGCATTGGGCCAGCTTCAAGTCTGCAGTTACCATTTACCACTGTAAAACGAAGCTTCTCCAGCTGAAACAGATAGCAGCACTGATCTCTGGGCAGTGTGACGGTCACAGCATGCGCATTTAGAAAGACAGCGGTCACAGCTTACCTCCCAGGGCCTATGACCTCTAGACATGGACTTTTGACCAAGTTTAAAATACCAAACATGAACTCCCTGCACAGAGCAGGCCCCAACTTCTGTCAAAATGCAGTTGGTACTTTCTGCCAAACCTGAGGCCCTATATTCAGTGGCTGAAATCTACACGATGAACGGAGGGATCTTTCCTCTCCTTTCATCCTCTGTGTATTAAGTAATTAACTAATTAATGCAAAATATCTAACTTCTAAATGAGGCCAGATAAGAATGTTGAACAAGTCTTGATTTGTGTTTTCCTGGAGTTTAGAGTATGCTCTGGTAACCCTAGGAGTTGAGGAAGAGGCAGAGCTGCTAGAGTACTCGTGACTGGAGAGATGTATGGCAGTTAAGACCATTCCAGCACCCACAAGTGGCTCACAGCTGTCTGTAATTCTTGCCTCTGTGAGCACCAGGTATGACTGGGATGCACAGACATACATGCAGGCAAAGCACCCACAGACATGGAATTAAATTCAAAAGTTAGAAGGATAATTGTAGGAGCGTAAAGGTGCCAGGACTTAAAGGGACCCTCAGTGTGTGTGTAAAGGCGGTAGGAAGTGTGTAGTGGGTATGAGGGTGCCATTACAGTGCAGCCTTCCTGTTTGAACTGAAGGGTTCAGAGGAAGGCAGGCCCATTAGGGTGGGACTCTGAAGCTATTATGAGCTACCTCCTTTAGCTCGTTCCTTATCTTCCCTGTGGCTTCTCCAGAGGCCTCCCATGCCCAGCAAAAGGCATGGAGCACACCTGACAATACCTCATGCACATCGGGGCTCAGTGAGCCATGTTCTGTGTGAATGGTTGGAAGCTCAGGCTGTACGCTGCTGCTGCTGCTTGCTTTCTCACCTGTGAGGTGTGGTGCCCTGGCACCTGCCTGTCCGGCGGTGGTTCCGAGGCCAGATACCACACTCTAGGTCTTTATATGCTCAAGCCAAATGCGGCGTTCTCTGATGCGTAATAGGTGGGTTTTAATGAACGGAGGGTTTTAATGAACATTTGACTTGAGATTCTACGTGTTTCTCCTCACAGCAGATGACAGCGCTTTCTTGCTTGTCACCTGCATATAAACTTTCTTGGCTGTTTGTCCTTAAACATTAGGCAGCCCATTTGGTTAAATACACCTGTTAAATCCTATTGAAAACAGAATTTCAGTTATGCACGTCTACAAATGGTCGCAAATGTTGAGTTCTTTACTAAATATACTATCCGATATTTATGCTTTAGAAAAATTATACCTGTTACTTACCTTTAATAAAAGTGATCATCAGATAGAAGTTCTTGTGAAGAAAGAGCTAATTTTTGCTCTCCTAACTCCTAGGGAACCTTTATGAAATTGAGCTTCATATGAAGTCTGACACTAGAGAAAGGTAGTATCCAGAGGAAAGTGCAGACCAATGAGGGCTTTTTGTTCTCTATAGGTTGGAAATCCACGCGTTGAACTCACCCTCTCAGAACTTCAAGATATGGCAGCCAGGCAACAGCAGCAAATTGAAAATCAGCAGCAAATGTTGGTTGCCAAGGTACAGTCATAAGAAACATCATTCATAACGTGTATTTTTCAACTGCCCTTTCAGATTGAGGTTCCCTTCGTGGGTGGTGAGATGGGCTGTGCTAGGAAAGTGCCGAGCAGTGGTTATGTTGCATTCTGTAATGGTATCAAAGCAAGAACCTTTGGTCCTTGGTACACATGCCCATCACAGAGTAGGAAATGGCTGGTCCTGACCAAACGGCAGACGGATGTGAAAGGAGAAGGTGCTGTTTCTTCCAGGTTCGCTAGGTGTGAGCTTGGCTGTGTACTGGTTTACTACTCTAGAGAAGACTGGACCCTGGAAGAGTGATGACCAGTCAACAAATACTACTCCACACTGAGTGTGTTAGGGCTGTTATGGTGTGGGGCATGGTTAGGACATTGGTAAACCTCCGTAAGGGGGGTTTGGGAATTTTTCTAAATTATGATTTAGTTATGCTTGATAATCAACTAGAAAAGATCAGGGCCAATACCCATCCCTTAATGGGTTGTTCATGGTGTGAAATGTCTTAAAGTGTTCTGGATCTACTTTAAAGAGAGCCTCTTAACATTCTAGTGTGGATTATTGTCCCCTTTTGTGATTTTCTTTTACTGTGTATGTTACGTGTATATGTGTGGGTGACGTGTGTGCCGTTGCACAGGTGTGAGGCAGAGGACAAGTTCTTGGAGTTGGTTCTCTCCTTCCACCATGTGGGTCCCAGAAGATGAGCTCAGGTTCAGGCTTGGTGGCAAGTGCCTTCACCCACCTGGCCAGCCTGATTGTCCTCTCTGTGGAGAGAGCTACGTAGTCACAAGTCCTATATTTTTCATTTGCTGTGTGTAGTTCACTGTTCTGACTGCTTATATGTAAAAGAGAATTCACTGGACTTGTCTAGAAAAATTGTCTCATTAGGCCAACATGATGGCTCACCCTGACGCCTGAGTTCCATTCCTGGGACTCACATGGTAGAAGAAATGAGCAATTCCTTCCTGCAGGTTGTCCTGTGACCTTCGCACGCGCATCACAGTGCACACATGTACCCACCCATCCACTTATACTCACATATTAAAAACTAAGTTGTCTCAAAGCTCGTTGTGCCTCAAGGATAAACAGTATTGTAGAACTGGAGAGACGACTCAGCAGGAAGAACATTGCTGCTTTTCCAGAGGACCTAAGTTCTGTTCCCTGCATACATACCAGGCAGCTCACAAGCGCCTGTCACTCTGCCTCCAGGGGATCTGATACCCTCTGTGGCCTGTTGCCCCCCCCCCACACACACACACACTGTAATGAAAAAACTTTGTAGATACTTTCGACACTATAAATCACAAGTTAATACCCAACCTGAAATACTTGAGCATGAGTTTTTGTACCTTACTATGCCTGTGGGATCATGCAGAGGCCTCTTGTCATTTTGGTGCACTTTATGCACACAGATGGATCACAAATGCTTACTGTTGGTTTACCTTTACAGTACGCTTTCACATGAGTAGGAGAAACACTGTTGAAGAGTGCTTTGTGTCTTTCATTTTAGGATTGTCCTATTGCAAAATGTTTCCCCATTTAAAGACACTAATCATGAAGAAAGCAGAGTCCTTTGATGGCTTAGTATGAGTTACAGATTAGAGGTCCATTTCGTGGTCACTCACTGTCCTTCTTCCTAGTAGAACCCTGCTCTAGGAGCCCTGTGCAGACAGCAGGGGGCAAGGCTAGCAAGACCTGCCGTGATGGCACACAGGCAAACGCTGGCACGCTTCTTGCTGTGAGACTTCGGCAGAGGCCCGGCATGAGCTGAGTGTGCAGATCAGCGCATGCCGTCAACTCTGCCTAAAGAATCTCCAAGCTCATGATGTGGTATATAAAGGTAATCAAACATTTCCATTTGCATAGTTTAGATGTTTTTGTTCTTTGTTAGGAACAGCGTTTACACTTTCTAAAGCAGCAGGAGCGTCGCCAGCAGCAGTCTGTCTCTGAAAACGAAAAGCTTCAGAAACTGAAAGAGCGAGTTGAAGCCCAGGAAAACAAGCTGAAAAAGATCCGTGCCATGAGAGGACAAGTTGACTACAGCAAAATTATGAACGGCAATCTGTGTACGTACCTTCAACCCATGCACCCACACACCCAGGCTGTCTGGCCATGGCAGTTTGCGTGTCCTAACACTTTACTCTCAGCTGCAGTAAAGAGGATGGAGTTCATTGGGTTAACTGACTTTTTAAAAATTGTATAAGTTCTCTGCAAAAACCAAAAACAACAACAACAACAAAAACTTGTGAAGTCTTAATAAGATTGTGTCCTAGAATGGTATTGTTTGAAATTAATTAATTTCCTGTTTTTTTAAATATAAATTTAATTGTGCATTTTATAGGACACAATAATTTGAAGAATGTGTATAATGTGTATTGATTAATCAGGAGGTTCACATTTCTGTCTTCTTGAATGTAAAAAACATTTTGATAAGTCTATGGTGATTTTTTGCATATTTATGACTTGCAGTCTGTTTCAGAGTAGTTCTAGCCCTTTCTGTTATGGTGGTGGCATCAGCCCTTTGGATAGGTGTCTGGCTGATCCAGGGGCTGTAGTTAGTAGTCTGCTTTTGTTTAACTATTTACATTTTATGCATGCATTAAGATGACCATACAGCCAGGCACGGTGGCACAGAGCCTTGAGAGGCAGAGGTGAAAGGACAAGGCCTCACCCCAGCCAGTGGTGCATCGGGTGCTTCTGTGTGGGCTCTGGGGTTTGTTTTCTTTGTGGTTGGTTTTTTTGTCAGTTTAGCAAATGCCTATTTAATGTCATAATGATGGGTAATACTTTCACAACAAAGGTTTTATCTTGCTCTCTGAGATTCTGAAGTACCTTGGCCAAACTAGCTTTTCTATTAGTTCCCTAAAGAATATTAATTAACTAGTGCAAGCATAATTATTGACTCTGTGAATAGTCATGGATTTTGAAATCTGTTGGTGTGTTTTGGAGGCTGGGTAAACTAGAACACTTGCCTGGCAAATGAGAGTGAGACTTGGGGTTTCTCCAACCATAGCTCTTACAAGAAAAAAAATCTGTTTTGGGTTATGCATACACTATATTTTTTTTATATTTATACATGCACTTCATTCCAAAGCTGGTAATAAATAATACCAGAATTGTATATAGAAATGAAGACAGAGTATGTCCCTTAAATGACCATTTTTCCTTTTTTGTTAATTACAGCTGCTGAGATAGAAAGATTCAGTGCCATGTTCCAGGAAAAGAAGCAGGAAGTTCAGACTGCAATCTTACGAGTTGATCAGCTTAGTCAGCAACTAGAAGATTTAAAGAAAGGAAAACTGAATGGGTTCCAGTCATACAATGGCAAGTTGACAGGACCAGCAGCGGTGGAGTTAAAACGGCTATACCAAGAGCTACAGGTAATTGTCTGAGCCTGGGGCCTCGGCCTTACTTAGAGGGACAAAACATTCAGATTTCAGTCTTCAACATTTCCATTTCTCTGGCTTGGAGAGATGGCTCAGAGCTCTTGAGCAGCAGACCCGAATTCAGTTAGCAGCACCACATGGCCGCTCACAGACATCTGTAACCCCACTTCCAGAGATCTGATGGCCTCTTCTGTCCTGCAGTTACTGTACATACACGATGCACATACATACATGACAACAAAACACTCATATACATAAAATAAGATACATACAGAAACCTAAACACATTTCCACTCCTCAGAAGGTTTTGTGGTTTTTTTTTTTTTTTTTTTTTTTTTTAAGCACTTGCTACAACAGGGTATGGGATCATTTAATGAGGGCATTGCACTACAGACAGGATCACTGAGCCAATTGTGTATGATTTTAAAGGGTATTTTTTGTGAGATATGTTGTGAAGCTATTTTGGTGAGGTAGCTTTTTGGTCTACAGTTAAGTATTTAAGTGTGTTTTGCCTCCTGTTTGGTTTACATACACAAATAGGAATGTGTGAGTATGCAAGTAGGGTGCTAGTATTATGGGCTTCTGAAGAGTTTACCAAGATAATTGCCTAATCTTCCACATGGGATACATTCTAATGGTGTCTAGTCTCTCCTGTTCCATTTCTATTTTAAATATCAGTTATAGGGAATGGTGAAATTGCTCAGTGAATAAGAGCACTTGCTATTCTTCCAGAAGAGTATTTTGGTTCCCAGTACCCAGGTACACCAGGTGACTCACAACGGTCTATAGTTCCAGCTCCAAGGATCCAACACCCCCTCTTCTGGCTTTGGCAGCATAAACTTGCACAGACACACACATAAACAAACAATAATAAAATAAGTGCCAGTTGTAGCCCAGTAAAATGAGTGCTGTGTTTTGAATTTAGGGCTGTCTTTGTGATCTTCCTGTCACTCACATAGTTAAAGTTCCTCATTCAAAAGTCTGGGGTTTGCCTCCTGGATTCAGAGAGTTGCTGCAGGGACTACCTCCCCAGGGTTCTAGGCTTGGCCTTATAGAGCACTGCTGACCCTTGTCCTGCGTGTGCTTTGAAGAGGGTGAATAGTTGAGGATGTTTGTCTTGTCTTTAGTCTATAAGCACTCTGTTGAGCATGAACTCAAGACTAACCTGTGTACAAAGCAAGATCCTATTTCACAAAACAAGCCAGGTGGTGGTGGCTTTAATTCAGCACTCTGGAGGCAGAGGCAGGTGGATCTTTGTGAGTTTGAGTCCAGCCTGATCTACAGAGCTAGTTCTAGTGCAGGCTCCAAAGCTACAGAGAAACCCTGTCTTGAAAAACAACCCTGGGGATGTTGGTCAGTTCTTGCCCGCCATTATGTACAAAGTCCTGGATTTAATTTCCTGCACCAAAACTCAAACAAAAGCTGCTTGTGTGCTGGTTTCCCTGTGCTGGACCTGCTTCTACCCCATTCACTCTTCCCTCCCTCCCTCCCTCCCTTCTTCCTTTCATCTCCCTGGAATTGAGCTTTTGACCTCTTCCTTCCTTCCTTTCTTCCAGTTTGTTTTTTATTTTTGTTTGTTTTTGTTCTTGAGACGGGGTTCCCTGGCTGTCCTGAAATTCACTCTGTAGACCAGACTGGCCTGGAACTCAGATCCTCTTGCTTCTTCTTCTTTAGTGTAAGGACTAGAGGGGTACACCACCACACCCAACTAAAAATTTGACCTTTTAACTCATATAAATACATTTTTTAACTTTAGAAATTGTTCCACTTTATTAAAATAAAGGGCAAATATTCTATCCATAAATTCTGTTTTCCAAAACAATTTGGGGGGGTTCATCTTGTTGCTGAGATAACACATTAATATTAAAAAGCAAAGAGTCTTCTGCTTCTAGGTCACTGCCAGGTTGTGGGGAGCTTGCTCTGCCGGAAATTAAAACTTAGAATCGAGTATTCTCCAAAGCAGAAATAACACATTGTGATTTCAAGCAACTCTATTTTCTAACATGCACAGCTGCCTGTCAGAACAACTGAGCTAAGTCAGAACAGCCCAGCAAGAAACAGAAAAGAAGTCAGGAGATCTGAGGTTGTCATATAAACTATTAGTTCCTTGCTGTCCTCCTTACTCTACTGTAGTTGGTGATTTTACTCTTTTGGGGCCTGCCACCCAGTTCCCAAATAAACACACACGGAGACTTTCTCTTACGTTTGAGTGCCCGACCTTAGCTTGGCTGTTTCTAGCCAGCTTTTCTAACTTAAATTGCCTCTGGGCTTTTACCTTTATTATCCTATGTCTCCGTGGCGGGCTGGGTGGCTGGCCAATGGTGCCTTCCTCGCCTCCTTTTCTCGATCCTCCTCTTCTCCTACCTGTCCTCTCTGCCAGCTCCCTCCCAGTTCTGTCTCTGTCTAGATACTGGCTGTTCAGCTCTGTATTAGACCAATCGGGTGTTTTAGACAGGCACAGTAATACAGCTTCACAGAGTTAAACAAATGCAACCTAAAAGAATGCAACAAATGTTCTACAGCACAAATGAATGTAACACATTTTAAAATAATATTCCACAGCATTCTATAACCTTAATAAAGGGTCTGTGTTACTGCAACAAGTATATCACTAGCCATGAATTTCGGAATTAGTTACTATGTATTTCTAACATAGGGCCATTGTAGAAATGGCCTGGCCATCACATGTCCACAGTTTACTTTCATGATCTGCATAAGCACGCCTGTTAGTGAAGACATGACACTGAGATGCACCCTAATGTCCAGGATCTGGTGTTTGGCAGACAGCAATGGAAGAGAGAGAAGTATTGTAGTCATTTTTATTTGAGTGGTCTTTATTATAACAAAATCAGTTCAAAGTACTGATGTACATTCAAATGTACATTCAAAAATGGCTACAGACATTTGTTTATAGAAATTGGGTTTCCTGTGCCCCAAGTGGGCCTTAAACTTGGTATGCTTTTAGCCAAGACTAGCTTCAAATTCCAGATCTTCCAGATCTCCTTGCTCCCACGCCTCAAGTAGTAGGGTTGTAGGCATAAGCTACCTTCCCTAGCTTCTTTATTATCAGTCTAACTTGGTGTTTCTGTTTGATCTCAGAAACTCTTCATGCATCAGCAATTTTGTCACCTGACTCTTTTGGTAGTTCACACATGTATTTCTAAGTTTTTGAAAAGTAAATGAGTTGTCTGTTTTTTTTATTTGGACAGTATCTCTCTGTGTAGCCCTTGCTGGTTTGGAACTCTGAGATGCACCTTCCTCTGCTTCCTGAGTGCTGGGATTAAAGATGTGTGCCACCACACACAGCTACTGTGAGATCTTAACCAGCTGCTTTTTATTTGTATTTTATGTACACTGGTGTTTTGCCTGCATATATGTCTGTGTGAGTTTGTCTGATCTGTTGAAACAGATGTTACAGACACTTGTAAGCTGTCATGTGGGTGCTGGGAATTGAACCTGGGTCCTAAGAGCCAGTGCTCTTAACTGCTGAGCTATCTGTCCAGCTCTCCGGCTGCTTTTTAGAGTGCCTTAGTCCACTTTGTGGGGATTAACACTTTCTAACGGTGTTGTCGTTTGGATTTATGGAGTCTAAACCCTTGCCAGCTGTGTAGATGACCATCGTGCCATGGCAGAGCAGACAGCCCTGAAGACACATAATGCTTCTTGATTCATGTGTGGGACTCATGTGGGACCCTGCCTACTAGACACCTGACAGGGTGTAACTAATGCAGCTGTTAAGTGATGGTCTCTACTTTGCAGATTCGTAACCAGCTTAACCAGGAACAGAATTCTAAGCTCCAGCAGCAGAAGGAGCTCTTGAATAAGCGCAACATGGAGGTGGCCATGATGGATAAGCGGATCAGCGAGCTGCGTGAACGCCTGTATGGCAAGAAAATCCAGGCATGTGAGAGAGTGGGCAGCTGTGAGCTAAACTACTACTAGTGTTTCATCTAAAAGTTGCCAGTTGTTGCTGCACCTCTGGTACATACTGAATCCCAGTACTTAGGATGTGGAGGCAGAAGAGTTGTAAATTAGGGGCCAGCCGGGACTACATAGGGGGATTGTGTCTCAACAACAAAAATCTTGAACAAAATGCCATAGTTATATTTTCAAAAATGCTTGCTTTTCTAAATTTCACAGATGGAAAACACCCTGAACAAAACTGAAACAGTGCAGGAATATCCCCAGGAAAATGGCAGTCTCTCCCTCATTCTCCACAGCTGGCGATAGCTAGTGCAGAGTCTTTCACCTAATCCAGACACAAAGGGGTAGAAAAGGGTAGGATCCCATGGAAACGGGAGTACGTTAGTTGGTCTGCACCTTGCCTGAGATCACCATCGTTAGTATCTAACACTGTACCATGGTCCAGAGTCTGCCTGCCCTTCCCCACCCCCCTAGTCCTGATGCCTCCCAGTGTGAGTGGGAACCAGACGACACCTCGTGTCTGAATGGACGCCCCATCCAACCCCTCTACACCATCGGCACCTGGGGCGGGTGTCTTCCCTGCGCTGGCTTCCCGTGCACATGCTTAGACAGTTTGGTGACAGAGGTGCCCTCTTGCCAGCCTCAGTCGCTACGAATGATGCTCGGGAACTGCCTTCAATAATGTGTTGAAGGATAGCTTCACGTGATGTTTGTCTCTCAAGATTAACAATACAGAGGCCGTGACGGATGAGATTCTGTGTGCTTACTTATGTAGAGTAGCTAGAGAGTTCTGACAGCCTCTCATTGAACTTAGGATTTCAGAGAATCTTGACCCTGCTCTTACCCTCACTGCAGCTGAACCGTGTGAACGGCACATCGTCGCCGCAGTCACCCCTGAGCACATCTGGTCGGGTTGCTGCTGTGGGTCCTTACATCCAGGTCCCCAGCGCTGGGGGATTTCCTCTTCCTGGGGACCCTGTAAAGCCCCAGTCTCTAAGCATTGCCTCAAGTGCTGCCCACGGAAGATCCAAATCTGGTAAGTCGGTCACCCCGGTCCTCTCCAGGGAGGCGTGGGGAGAGAGTGGTGTGGAGGTGGCCGGCAACCCCTGCCCCACTCCAGGTCTCTGGGCTCTATAAAAACAGTGGCCCTCAAACAAGAACAAATTACCTTTACTGATCTGGAGGTCTCCACTGTGCATTTCAAACCACAAATAATAAATCAGCAGGGTGCATGTAGCACAGGCTTCTTTACCCCTAGGAGGCGAGGCAGGGGCTGCCTTCCTGTAGGCAGCCCTATAGCTGCTCCATCTGCAACAGTCAGAGAGCCCACAGCCTTGGGTTGGGTATGGGTGTGGCTCAAAGCCATGGATTGACTCTCCATGGAGCATGAGGTCAGGGCCAGGAGAGGAAAGGAAAAAACCCCACAGACCCTTTCTTTGGTGTTTGCAGTTGCTCGTTGTGATGATCAGGCCTCCAGCACTGTGCTCTGAGTGCACACACTGCATGGCGGCGTTCAGACAGGCATAGGGCTCTTATGTGAAGACATGATTGCTTTTAAACCAATAGATGTGTGCTGACATGCTGTGGCTAGAGCACTCGGGAGGCAGAGGTGAGAAGATGGCTGCAAGTTCAAGGCCAGCCTAGGCTACACAAGGAGACCCTTTCTAAAAATTCAGGGTTGTGGTTAAGAGTACTGGCTGCTCTTTCAGATGTCCTAAGTTCAATTCCCAGCAACCACATGGTGGCTCACACCCATCAGTAATGAGATCTGGTGCCGCCTTCTGGCCTGCAGGCATACATGCAGGCAGAACACTGTATACATAATAAGTAAGTAAATCCTTAAAAATAAAATCAGGGTTTCCTTACAGTAAGACTTGCAAGGACTAGGGTTGGCTTGTATTCACAGGATCAAGAATCTGTATTGCATAGTAAATGTGGATATTAAATTTGTGAAAATATTGTCCTGATTAAAGCCCAAGCTTTGAGTCCCCTCTCCCCCCCAGAATTAGTAACCAGTTTCTGGTAGCCTTTTGTGCTGCTTGCTTGCCTTTTTTGGGGGGTGGGGTGGGGGATTATGTTTGAGACAGGGTCTCACTGTGTGGCCTTGGCTGGCCTGGAATGCACTATGTTGAAGAGGCTGGCCTTGAGCTCACAGACATACTCCTGTCTCTACTTTGCTGGGGAAAAGTCATGCATCACCACACCAGGTATTTTTGCTTTCTGTAGCTTGGCATCTCCTATGCACAGCTACATCTGCCATTCTGGCTCCTTCTGACACTAGCCAAGGGGGCTTGCTTCCCCCTCCTTCATGGGACAGAACCCACTCAGACCTCTTCATGACCAGGTCTTAGCAGTCTGATGGGTTCTGTGCTTGGCTTGACTCCCTCACTGCATCATCCATTGGTCCCCTACCCATGGTGTGTGTGTTTCAGTGGCAAAAGAGCTCTGTCCTTCTCTGTCCCACTCCTACTTAAGTGCCGTGTAGCCTCATAAGGTTACCAGACGATGTCTTTAACCTCATTCTTTCCATTGTAGCTGAAAGCAGCTTGCACAGGTTTCCTGTGTGAAGCCAAGCTGGGATCAGGGTCTCAGCTGTGGAGCTAGGATGAGAATTCTCCTTAGGGGACTCTGATCCCTGGTTTGCGATCCTGGTTCTGTGTTACACAGATGGCTTCAGTAGATGTAGAGCGATCAGCAGATGGACAGTATCAGACCTGGACGTCGGGCCTGAGTGCAGCTCCTCACAGCACTTTGCAAGCCTGCTTGTAAACTGTATGTCACTGATAGCCTTATCGGGGCATTTCTGATATAGAACACAGACTGAATCAATAATCAGTTGTTTTTTCCAAACTGACAAAGGACTGTTAATCCCCCCTCCCCCTGCACTTAGAAGCAATGGTGTGCTGCTAATAAATACACTCGCCCCTTCTAATCCAGTTATGGAGTTGGGGGAGGAGCCCATACATGGTCATCCACAGTCAAGGTCGGTCACCAGGTGACAGATGCTGGCATAGAGAGGGTTATTATGGATGTGTGACGGGAGAATTAAGATGAACTGCTGGGCATAGTGGCATACACTAGGAGGCTGAAGCAGAAGAAATTAAAGTTCTAGGCCAGGCTGGGCCACATAATGAAGCCCTATCTCAGAAAAAACGAAGGAGATTTTCTGACTTGCTTCTGAGACTGACTTCTCATCATAATTGGAGGCTTTGCAATACAAAATACTAAGTGGCTACCTGTGATATCTACCTTATCTGGAAGAAAAACTTTGTTTCTTGGTCCTGTCGTGGCTGTGGGATTTGAGGCTACTGGGCAGCCATATGTAATCCCATGACCCTGAGAGCAGAAAACCTCATCTCAGCCACTTACTCACACCATGGGCCTCCAGCTGGCCTTGCCCTTCTAGCACGCTGAGTTTTCACCTGTGTGCCTCTGGTGAGTTTCAAATAGCCCTACTCCAGTCACCCACCACAAGGCAGCGAAAGCTCACCCACTTGTCAGAAAGAGGGTGATTGTGTTAGGGCCAGAATGTCTCACCAGTGCTAGGCTAGCCCTGCCTTGGAGCCCTGAGACTGACTTAGCACTGTAGTCCCTGAATGGCACAAACCAGCTGGAGAGTGGAACTATAGAGCATGCCCTGCAGGCCCTGCAGAACGTGGAGCAGCTTACACTTAGGACTTGAAGCAGCTGGGACAGATGAAACTCTTTGCTGCTGCTCAGTTATCCCCCGCCCCTGTCTAATTCCTGCCCATGCCTAGCTGCTGTGGGATTAGAAGCTGGCAGCCAAATCATCCACACCTGTGCCTGTCAAAAAGCATCAGAGGCCTAAGTCAGGGCGTACAGCTGACTCAAGTTTCAGGCCACTTGTGTGCACCTTCTCAGTTTGGAAAATGCTCTATATTAAACATCTCTTCTGAATTTCCTGGGAGCTTGGGTTGATGATGCGCTTCCTAATCGTTGCAACAAAATGTTAGCTGCTCCCGCTGCTGCCCAATCAGAAAGAACTTGGACTGGCCTCTTGTGGCCAGATTGTTTTAGAGGGGGAAAGAATTCCTCACATTAAAGGAGAAATTTTATTCTAATAATGGAAATCATACAAATCAAATCTATTATGAAGCCAAATGATAAGTCTTTTCATGTTGCTGTATGTGATTGTGTAGAAGCAGGGCTTGGTAGGGTAGGTAAGTGCTGCTGTGTTCTGTGCTGTGGATGTTGGAGGTGACCTGTATCCCAGTGTGAGGCAGCCCTGGGGACCACAGTGGCCAGATGACTGCCAAGATCACTGCTTGCACTTATGCAAAGATCTGTGAGCTTTTGAGCAAATTAATAAGCATGCAGGTGTTGGTTGGTGGTTTGAGTAATGGAAGTCCCAGTGCTGTATTTGTTCCTGACTCAATTCATTTTATCATCCTTTCCCTTAAATTCTATGCTCTTTTCAAGCTAATGATGGAAACTGGCCGACATTAAAGCAGAATTCTGCTTCAGCCAAGTCAACTCAGATGGCTGGTGGAGACTGGAAGGACTCAGCCATGGAGGGGGCCCTAAAGCAAGGTGCCATCTCAAGCCAGCCTTTGCCCTTGTCAGCACTGGGAGCTACAGAAAAGCTGGTAGGTCATCTGGCTTCACTCTGCCCCAGTGAGTTTCTATGCTGTTCTGATCTTCAGCTCAAGGGTGTGAGGTAGCATGAAGACAAGTCCTACACAGCCTGTGCATGCTCAAGTGCAGACCAGTGGTGAGCCTGATGGTGTCTTTGGCCTTCTGGAGGCTTATAGCCCTACTGTGTGCTGTTGTGAATGGAAATGTGCTAAACTTCCAAAGAGTAACTGTGTATTTTCTTCCTGTTAACTCAGGGCATCGAGATTGGCAAAGGGCCACCTCCCACCCCTGGGGTAGGCAAGCCACTGCCCCCAAGTTATGGAACATATCCAAGTCCTGTGCCCCTGGGCCCAGGGTCAACAAGCTCCCTGGAGAGGAGGAAAGAAGGCAGCTTGCCCAGACCTGGTGCAGGCCCAAGTCGGCAGAAACCCGCCCCACCACCCCCAGCAGGCAGCGCTCCCCAACCTGGCTCCTCACAGCAGATTCAACAGAGAATCTCAGTGCCACCAAGTCCCACATACCCACCAGCGGGGCCACCTGCCTTTCCAACTGGAGATGGAAAACCTGAGCTTCCACTGACCGTGGCCATTAGGCCTTTTCTGGCTGATAAGGGGTCAAGGCCACAGTCTCCCAGGAAGGGACCTCAGACAGTAAATTCAAGTTCCATATACTCCATGTACCTCCAGCAAGCCACACCACCTAAGAATTACCAGCCACCAGCGCATGGCGCCTTAAATAAGTCAGTTAAAGCAGGTAAGTTGACTGTATATTCTCTGAAATGAAGGAAGTTATCCCTTAAATAAGATCCATGTCCTTGCATGGTACTTAGGATAAAACAATTCTTACATAAAGTATAGGATGTCAGTTAGGAATGGAAATAATTGCAGGCAAATTCACTCTGATTTCCTACCTGGTATCCATGTCACTTAGTAGTAAATCTGGATGGATAAGACTTATGGAATTTCATTTTTTTCCTGCTTCAGGGTAACTTGTGCCATTAGTTATCCCGTGTTTGGGGGTGAACCTGTTGGTCATCAGTAAGTCAGCATCCTGAGCGTGGGCAGGACAGCCTGGAGTGGGTGACTGAGCAGGGACCTTCCAGGAGGGCAAGTAGGAATACAGCACAGCTGTGCATACCTCATGGAGGTCAGAGAGTTTCCCCTCCTAGCTGGGGGGTTCTATGGGCCGAGTCAGGGCTGCAGCATCCAAACTTGTAGTTTAATGCCTGGGTGTATCTAGCCATCACCTGCCAAAGACCTCCCAAGTAGTGTGATCTGTGGGCACCGTTCTGGCCATGGGAGAAGCTTTTGAGCCATAGGTCAGATGTGTCCTGCTTCAAAGAGCTAGGTATATTCATGTTGCCTGAATCTGTCCCAGGCTCAGATGCAGATTTAGTGGATTTGGTGTTTTTCCCTTGGCGGGAAAACAAAGCACACTTATTGGAGTGGGGAAACTCAGGCCGGTAACCTTTTCTTTTGAAAAAGCCTCGTCTTGGAACCAAATATAAAACACAGTGTAAAGGAGGGAGTGGAGGATCTTGGAAAAGGGTTGTTGAGGATTCAAAAATCAGAAGCCACCAGCAATAGTAGCTTCTGTGTCATCAAGTCAGTGCCTGTCACTCAGCCAGGATGAAATTGTTCTGTCCTCTGCTTCTCCTCCAGTGTATGGTAAGCCGGTCCTCCCGTCAGGATCAGCATCTCCGTCACCCTTGCCATTTCTCCATGGGTCCCTGGGCCCAGGCGCTACACAGGCCCCGCCTCCTTCAGAGTGCACTGAGAAAGAGCCAGAACAGGAAGGTCCCCCTGTACCTGGAGAAGGCAGCACTGTGGAAACCCTGCCACGGCCACTGAGTCCCACCAAACTCACACCCATTGTGCACTCACCACTTCGTTACCAGAGTGATGCGGACCTGGAGGCTCTCCGCAGGAAGCTGGCCAATGCACCCCGGCCCCTGAAGAAGCGCAGCTCTATCACAGAGCCGGAGGGCCCTGGAGGACCCAACATCCAAAAGTTGCTGTATCAACGCTTTAACACCCTGGCTGGTGGCATGGAGGGTACCCCTTTCTACCAGCCCAGCCCTTCACAGGACTTTGTGGGCACCTTGGCAGATGTGGACAATGGAAATACCAATGCCAATGGCAACTTAGATGAGGCTCTCCCTCCTCGGCCCACAGCCCCAGTTCCTGATGAGCTTGCCCCATCCTCAGATGCCAACGATAATGAGTTACCCTCCCCAGAGCCAGAGGAGCTCATTTGCCCCCAAACGGCTCATCAAACTGCTGAGCCTGCTGAGGACAACAACAACAATGTGGCCACAGTACCTTGCACAGAGCACATCCCAAGTCCTGTGGCTGAGGCTCCTTCAGAAGAGGGACAAGTCCCTCCAGTACCACTCTCCCCCGCCACCCACCCTCCGGCAACATCTGCGGTGGGTACCCTTTGTAGACCAAAGCCAGGCAGGCCCTTGCATGCAGGGTTAACTTGGGGACAGGATAGTCAGATGATCACACACCAATAGTCCCTGCTAAACTCGTTGGCATTGACACCTGAATGACAGACACAGGAAGAGAAACAGTGAGCCTCCATGAGGTCAATATTGACAGCGCAGAGAGGGTTTGGGGTCATCTCGGGGAATCTGCATATACTTTTTTTTTTTTTTTCCACTCAAGACTCTGTTTCAAGACAAAGTTTCTCTGTGTAACTGCCCTGGCTGTCCTGTAACTCTCACTCTGTAGACCAGGCTGGCCTTAAAGTCAACAGAGATCCTCCTGCCTCTGCCTCCCCAGTGCTGGGATCACAGGTGTGCACCATCACTGCCCAGCCCACACAAAGCTTTCTTAATGGGACCAGTAGAGATGAACTCACGCCCTCCTACTAATCTTCCTAGAACTAACAGCCTCAGCTAGCCATCCTCTTTACAGATGCTGGCCAGGCCCTTGTAGGGCAGTCACCAGGGTTGCCTTAGTTCGTCCATCCTCACAGCAATGTCTTGGATTGGTCCTTGCCTTGGGTGTGTCACCAGACACTGAAATGCTTCCTTCCCTACAGAGCAAACGAACCAACCTGAAAAAGCCTAACTCTGAACGGACAGGGCATGGGCTGAGAGTGCGCTTCAATCCCCTGGCACTGCTTCTAGATGCTTCCTTGGAAGGCGAGTTTGATCTGGTGCAGAGGATCATCTATGAGGTGAGCCACGATTTCATACATGCTGTTGAGAGTTTGAAGGGCTGAGTTTCACGTACTCTGTGTCCTAGGTGGAAGACCCTAGCAAACCCAACGATGAAGGCATCACCCCCCTACACAATGCTGTCTGTGCTGGCCACCATCACATCGTGAAGTTTCTGCTGGACTTTGGTGTCAATGTAAATGCTGCTGACAGTGATGGATGGTGAGAGCCCATGGCGGGTGGGGAGTGGAGCCGGGAGGTGGTGGCACACATCTTTAATCCCAGCACTCTGGAGGGATCTCTGAGTTTGAGGCCAGCCTGGTCTAGAGTGAGTTTCAGACAGCCAGAGCTACACAGAAACAGTCTCAAAAGACAAAAAAAAAAAAGGAAGTTGAGAATCATAAGAGGAAGAATACCCTTCATTCATGCCCCGCGTTTCGTTGTCATCAGCGTTTTGCAGTTTCTGCCCCTTTCTCTCCTGCTGGACACCGCTGTTTGTTCTCCGTAACCCTTACTAGCACTGTACTTACTTGCTCTTCCTGTTTGCAGACGTTCTATAGAAATTTCCATGAAAAATAACCTCAGAATTCCCGTCAGTATTTAGATTTAGGTGTTTGTGAATATTTCCATTTGTCTTCAGGATTATTGGTCTGCTATATGATTATTTTGAACTGCCAGACAGCTCTTACCTATTTTTTTTCAAGTTGTGGTAAGACAGTCAGGAGGATTCAGGGCAGGGAGATTGCTCAGTGGGTAACGTGTCTGCTGTGAAGGGAGGCAATCCCTAGTACCAATGTAAAATCTGGTGTAGTGGTACACGCCTGTAATCCATATCTGGGGCATGATGGACTTGCTGGACAGTCAGTCTTACCAGAACAGTTCCAAGTTCAATTAGAGACTATTTAAAAACAGGTAGATAATTAATGAAGACGACACCCCAACATCATCCTTCAGGCTCTACCTGCACCTACACAGGGAGTATACACATCATCTCAGCCAGTTGTAAATACATATTGCCTTAAGTGTGTCATGTTGATACTGCTCTGCAATGTACACCTACTATTATATAGGCCATTTCTTGATCCGAATCAATCCTGTCACCCTTTTCCAAAGATTTACACACAGTCTAAGTAATTAATCAAGACTTTAAAAACTAGAAACTTGGAAAGTGGATATGGCATCTCACACCTTTAATCCCAGCACCTGGGAAACAAAGGCAGGTGGATCTCTGAGTTCAAGGCCAGCCTGAACTCAGCGTGAGTTCCAGGACAGCCAGGACTATTACACAGAGAAACCCTATCTCAAAAAACAAAAGACATGTAGAAACTTGGGACTTCAGAGATGCCTTGGTGGTTAAGAACATTGTATGCTCTTTCAAAGGATGCAGGGTTACTTCCCAGCACCTGCATGACAGCTCAGAGCCATCCATACTACAGTCCCAGGAGATCACCTGATACTGCTTCTGGCCCCTTGCATGCACATGATGCATATAAACACACACAGGCAGAACACCCATACATCAAGATTAACCACCAAATACCTCAATAAACACACACAGGCAGAACACCCATACATCAAGATTAACAACAAATACCTCAATTACCAGAACACCTAGATACTTGCACAAAGGTAAGGTACTTTCATCAAAATTCTTGAAGGCCTGTGTCACACGGGCCATAGCCCAGGGTGGTGCACCCGTTCGACACAGACTATACATGTTTCCCGATCTGGTTCTAGGACACCGCTGCACTGTGCTGCGTCTTGCAACAGTGTCCACCTCTGCAAGCAGCTGGTGGAGAGTGGAGCCGCTATCTTTGCCTCCACCATCAGTGACATTGAGACTGCTGCAGACAAGTGTGAAGAGATGGAAGAGGGTTACATCCAGTGTTCTCAGTTTCTATATGGTATGTCAGTGCTTCCCCTGCCGACTCAGTGAGCAGCCCCGGCTTAAGTGCTCAGTGCCCATACACTCACCCCAAACATCTGAAAATCCTGTTTGTACAAACCTACAGCCCTAGCACTTCACAGACAAGCAGCAGGCCAGCCTGGCCTACATAGTGAGACTCTGCCTTAAACGAAAATTACATTAGGAGGATTCTGTTCTGGTTGCTGAAGAGTAAGAGCGCCCTAGACTCAGTGAGTATGGTAGTGGCCCAGCACTCAGGAGGCAGAGGCAGGTGGGTCTCTGAGTTCAAGGCCAGCCTGAACTACAAAGTGAGTTCCAGGACAGCCAGGGTTTTTTGTTTGGTTGGTTTTTGTTGTTGTTTTTGTGGGGTGGGGGTGCCCCGGGGTCCCAGGACTGGGAGCTGCTGAGCCAGGCTGCACTGGTCTACACACACAATCTTGCTGCTGGGCCCCTGAGGTGGGACTGCTCCACCTTGGGGCCTTCTACATACTTCAAGCACCTAGCAGTGAGGGGCATGTCCTAACCACGTTGCCAGTGTCAGAAGTGCAGGAGCTCAACCGTGTCCTCTGCTAAGCAGGTACAAGTCACTGGTTCCACATACAACTTTGAGAAGTTTCTGTGTGTGGCCTGGTGGTACAAAGGATCACAGCCAAACTACAGTTGATATCAAACTCCCCCAACAAAGTTCTTGAGCATTAATGAAGCTGAGCAGGCCCAAGGGCCCTGGCAAACCCAGCCCATGTGAGGAAGAGGCTCTGCTAAGGGAAAAAGGTTTCTCAGCAATGACAGCACAGGACTGAAATTAGACCCCGTGTGATAATCTGCTTACAACACCCAGGGTGCAAGCCACCACGTGCAGCTGGTTTGTTGCTACTCAACACAGTCACAGCTCCCTCTCTACGACTGCCCAAGCTCACCTCTACCTCTGTTGGTCACCCTCTGCTAAAACATGACTATCTTTTTTTGGTCCCAGGGGTACAAGAGAAGCTGGGAGTGATGAACAAAGGCACTGTGTATGCTCTGTGGGACTATGAGGCCCAGAACAACGATGAGCTGTCCTTCCATGAAGGGGACGCCATCACCATCCTGAGGCGCAAAGATGAAAATGAGACTGAGTGGTGGTGGGCTCGTCTTGGGGACCGGGAGGGCTATGTGCCCAAAAACTTGCTGGGGGTAAGCACTCGTGCACTCAGAGCTAGATACTGGAAGTCAGCTGGCTCGAGCCTGCACAAAAGTCACAAAGACATTCTGAGCATAGGTTTCTCAGCATGGATAGAGCGCTATTGTCCAAGCCCTAGCAGTCTGCTGCGCATATGGGCAAGCCCCCAACTCCCTAGAGTCAGGGCATATAGAGGCTAGAGAGCATCGGGTCGCCTCACTGCTTTGCTCATGGTGAACCTGGGCAAGGACTAAGCCCTGACGAGCTGGGTGTAGTAGCACACACTGTCACCCCAGTGCTTGGTCATTTTTGAACCATTTGTTGTTTGTTTTGTAACCCCTTTCCTCTCCTGAGCTGACAACTGAACCCAGGGCCTGAGCACGTGCTCTGCTGAGCTGAATCCCAACCTCTGTAGTCCTAGCACTTGGGAGGCTGAGGTAGGAGGTTGAAAAGTTAGCTGCTGGCCTGTAGAGTGCAGCAGTGTGGGTTGTCAGCTAGGCTGATGCACAATGGCGTCTGCCTGTCCGTTAACAGAAAGGTTACCTCTTAAGTGCCATCATAAGCCTGGCAGGTGCTTCTTGTTCACTTGGCAAACCTTCCCAGGTGCCAAGGCACGAACCAAGCACTGGTGTTTACACCACGGAGCTTACATTGTCAGGGACCTAGCAGGAAGAAACAGGTTTTCAGGTGTGATAAAAAGGACAGCTGAGGCTAGGTCTGAGCAAGCATGTTTTGGGGAGATTGCTGAGGTGACAGGGGAGGGACATGGAGGCCTTCTCAGGCATCTTTTTGCCCTAACTCTTGTGTGTTGCTTCTCAGTTGTATCCACGGATCAAGCCCCGGCAGCGAACCCTTGCCTGAACTTCTCCTGGAGTAGTACACACACAGTGTCATTAGCTCCCAGGAGCTACTGGAGAGGTTCCAGCTGCCCCGGGAAAACCGAAGCTAGGACAGTCTCATGGTGCTCACTTTAGCAGACAGTATCCACAATGTGAACCCCAGCTTCCAGGTGAGGCCCTTCTCCAGTGCGTACTTTGACCTTCAGAGGACTGCATTTTTGCTAATTACTGTAAATCCAAATAAATACCCAGCTTCCAAGGCACCCACCCACCCCTGTTGCCAGTGAGAAGTCCTGAAACTATGAACCCTGCCAGTTGCCAATGAAGATAAAGCTCTGACTGACTTGGCCGGAAGGTCCCTTCCCATGTGTGACGTCTCTGATCAGCAGAAGTAAGCGGCTGCAAGTTGGCGCTGGCTGCAGCCCTACCGTCCTTGGAAAGTCTCAGAACCATTCTTCCTCACATTCCCGCTCACAACATTTTCTTTCACTACCAAAGGAGCCTGTTTGGAAACTGTCCTGTTTAATTAACATGACAACCTCATGCTGTGGTGGGACTTGCATGCCTCAGCACACAGGGTCATCTGATTCCTACAGCTTTTAGTGTCATCTTTAGCCCCTTTGTGGCCGGAGTTCATTCTGTCGTGAGTACAGTTAGCCACAGGAGTCTGGGCAAGGCCCAGGGCAGGAAAGCCACCAGGCAGACTGGGATGTATTGCAAGTGAGTCAAGCTCTTTTTATACACCAAGATTATTTTTCAGCTAGGCCATTGAAAACTACCAGAATTGTATTGGAAATTTTTCTTCCTTGTTGAAAAACAAGCCCTGAGGCTTGTGAGGCTTGTGCATAACTACATGTGAATCCGTGTATAGGCTTTGGGGCAGTGCTGTACTCAGCTGCCCATTAGTGACTGTACAGGGTGGCGCTGAGCTGTGACCACTGACTCTGTGTGACATGCACAATAAACTGTTGTCTCACACCTACCTGGCTGTGAGTCTTGTGTTCTGGACGCAGGATAGATGCACAAAGTGATGCTGGAGCCTGCTGTGTACTTTCAAAATAAGTTTTAATCATATGCTTTATATACAAAATTACTGTACAGTCATTTAATAAAGTGAAATGGTAAGTGAAAAGTAGAAAACACAATGGTGATGCCTTCCCCTTAGTGACATAGAAAAGGATTGTTCATTGCCCCAGTTAGTGACAAAATAAATGGAGAGTCATAAACAGGCTAAGGCATTGTAAACGGGCTACTGGAGATAGGCAGGGCCCAATGCTAAACTAGGGGCCCGAATGACCACCACCTAATTTGTTTCTGTGGGAACAGGGCCAAAAATCTCTAATAAACCTAGGGATTTATAAACACGGTATAGGCTATATATACTAAAACTTGATTTAGTACTGTAGTGCAGCCTCTCCCAACCTTAGTAAGTATCAACAATACAACATACAATCTTTAAAGCGTTAATCAACTGTGTACATATTGCACTAGGTAAGTGAACACTGCTTCCAGGCACCCAGAGCCCTGAGTACTCAGGCAGGAGCAAGCAGCCTGGACGTGGTAACTCGATGTGCTCAGCTCCCTCGAAGTCACTGGTCTCGTGATTCATAGAGGAGCTTGGTCGCCTGCATAACACCATAAAGCACACTTGGTTCTGGGCCTGACTACAGGGAGCCTATGTGCCTAGGGGCATCACATGGGGCACCCAGCTATGTGTCCACCTCATGAGCTCAGCCTCCCCAACCCTGCCCGTGGTACCTTGTGCATGGCTGCCAGCCATGCCGCTGCCTGCCTCTTGCTGCCGTTTGCATCCTCTCCAGCCATCAGCCTCAGCTGTGTTGCGGCCTCTGCCCCTGGCACTGCGTACTGCAGGAACATGCCTGTGGCTCGAGTGCTACCTGCTGGAGGAAGGAGATGAGGTCTCACATAGGACCTGCTCCGCAAGCAGCCTTGTTGGAAACAGTGGTAAATGAAACTAGCTCCTGCTTCTGTAGAGACCCCGTGTGCAGAGAATGGAAAAGAATATAAAAGGCTTGCGATCACCAGAGCCAGAATCAATAGTACCATATCGTGAGCTTTCACAACCCTGTTCTCTATATCCATGGCATTCTCCGGAAGGCATCATCCTTCAGAGAAACCGCGTGCGTGTGTGCTTTCACCACACACACACACACACACACACACACACACACACACACACACACACACACACGCCAGAGTAGAACAATGAAATACAGAAACTGCTTTAGGAGGCCTGGCAATCAGAAGGTAAGCCAAGCAGACAGTTTCATCTGCCCTGCCTTCACACTTAGAGGTTGGACGTCACAGCTGAGACTTAATGCAGGAACCTTGCCATTCTTCCACAACTCTCAGGGTCCCATGGAGACACTGGGCATCGGCCTGCCAAGCCAAGCCATAGCTCCATGTCTGGGCTATAACCAGCTGCTCTAAGCATTATTTGAATTTAGGCTCTGCCTAGAACAAGCCACTTGAGACAGATCAGTCCTGTCAGGCATGGTTAAATCAAAGCAGCCTGAACACCGTGGGCATACAGAAAAGGCCTGACTTCTTTGCCTCCAGAAGCTCTGGCTCAGAGGGCTAAGCCTGCTCAGAAGTACGTTCTAATTCAAATCTGACTGAGCTGCCCTACCCAAACTGCTGCAGAACTTCCTCTCCAGACTGTGTCTACCATTTGCTTTTGTAAATAAAAATGTACTGAAATGTGACCATGGTCACTGTTGGCTGTGGCTGTTTTGTGCTTTGCATGGCCATCAAAATTTTACCCCCCCCCCCCATGGGAGCTGGAGAGGTGGCTCAGCAGTTAAGAACACTTAATGTTCCCGCAGAGGACCCAGGTTCAGTTCCCAGCACCTACAAATAGTGGCTCACAACTATCTGTAACTCCAGGTCTAGGGGATCCAACACACTGCTCTGTAAAGGCACTGGGCATGTGCATGGTACATAGATACGCAGACATTCATGAGCTTCAGACGATGGGGGAGGAGGACGCGAGTGGACTTCCAGACTCTACCCTTGGCACTAGGATATCTTCAACCAGCTTAATGCTCCATGCTGTATTCCATTAGCCGGGCCCCTCTTACCATGGCCTCAGTAGACGGAGATGGAGGAACTGAGCCAGGGATCCCTGGAGGCAAGCTCCTGGGCACAGCAGTGAAAACTGCCCACTGCATCTGCCTGGGGCCTGGCCTCAGCCTACTGAGGGCTGGCTTGTCAACTCTGCTGACTTCTGGGAAAGAACTGAGCAAACTACTTCATGCTGTCAGGACACACTCTCGCTTTACAGAATCATAAATTGGATCTAATACCTCTCTAATCAAAAGAGATACACCCAACTTCCAGAATCCACTCCAAGGGGCAGAAGCAAAGGGGCCAGAGGAGGAATAGATACCACAGCACGCTGGTAGGAGTGACCCAGGGAGGATGGAGGCTGACCTTCAGAGGCAGGCAGGCTCCCCAGGAGGCTGGTGTAAGTGTGAATATCTTTTTCTACTTGAAGAATGTAGGCGGGCAGAGCAAAGAAGAAACAACCAAGAGTCAGTCAGAAAATGGAAAGCAAGATGCGTCAGGTCAAATCTGCAGGTTCAGAGTGTTCGATGTGCAGTTGAGCCAGCGGGGGTAGGCTAAGACTGAAGCCCAATGACAGCAGCCTGCAAGCAGGCTCTAGGTCAGCCCCCCCCCCACCAGACTGTCTGGAACCTCAGACACTCACTGCATCTGGAGGCCATCTGCAGGGAGATGATCGATGATCTCAGTGACGGTGCCATGGCCACATCAGGCCTCTCCCCTTGTTATCCCAGTCCCGTCTGTGTAGGTTCTAAAGCTACTGACTTAACTAAGCCCCGGAGAGGAGCACGGCACGCCATCTGGGGACCAAGTGCAGTTCCTCCTGTTGCCCATATAGATACTAGAGAGCTCCTGCTCAGGGAAGGCACGTACCTCCGGGAGTGAAGCCTTCTGTGAGAATCTGCACAGTACAGACATGCGCAATCTCAATCTCATGATGGCTGTCCCCGTCCAGAATCAAGCATCTATAACAAAAAAATGGGGCAGTCACGAGACGGAGACCCGAAGCCTACGGAGACCCTGCCCAGTGCCAGTGGGGCTCCGCCTCTTACCTCTGGTTGTTGGAGAGACGACAAACCGTGGTTTCAGGCTTCTCTGAGTCCCCAAAAGTAACAAGGAAGGTAGCTCCTTGGAAGACAAAACCAAACTGCTCACACAGGACCTACTGCTATATCTCCCTGCCCCAGACCATGCACTTGGGATAAAAAAAGCCTTCTTCCTCCACTACCAGATGGGAAAGCAAAGGCTGACACAAATAAAAGCCTTGTGTTAAGGATCCCTTCAGTTAGGCAAAAAGGCAATGAATTAAGGGTCTCAAAAGCTTAAAAGACACTGCTTGAGGTTGGAGAGATGGCTTTGGGTAAAAACACTGATGTTCTCTCAGAGGACCCAGATTCAATTCCCAGCACACACATGGTAGCTCAGAACTGCCTGTAACTTCAGTTCCAGGAGAACAGCACACTCTTCTGACTTCTGTAGACATGTTGTATGTGAACATGTAGGGGAAATATCCATCCACATAAAACAGAAACAGAGGCCCTGCCATGCATCCAAAGCTGTAAGTTTTATAGCAGCCTTCAAAGACGGCAAGTAGGGGTAGTTCATCATCAAGGCCCAGATCGGATAACTCTGCAGCAGATTGGGCAAGACCACTTGCAGAGCAGAGGCTGGCCCTCGCCTGTGGAAGGCACAGCTGTGGGAAGCAGGCCTTACCCCAAAAGAAGTCCCTTGTCCCTCATGCTCCTGGGATATGCCTCTGAAACAGCACCTGCACCTGTTAGAGCTTGTCTGCAGGCCTCTGAGGGCAGGGACACACAGGTTTGACTACTAGTGGCAGCCTGCATCTAGGGAAGGTGCTGCTAGGCCAGGCTCCCTGGTTCCCTGGCCCTCTGGACTGACATCTTAGAACATTCTTGTCTCTGAAGTCCATCTCTAAGTAGGTCCAAAGCAAAGCAGAGGATGAGGGTAAGACACATCACATTTTAAGCATGGCAAGTGGACATGCTGTCACTCACCACTCAGGAGCACCTTGAGCTGCTTGTCATAGAACTCGGCCTCTCGGTGAGATACCAGGGCACACTCGGCACACTGGCGCACTGGGTCCACAAAGCACATGCGCCGAAGTGGCACCTTCTGACTGCAGCACCTGTCACAGAAGCATTTCCCACAGCGGCGGCAGTGGTGCTGAGGGGGTGAAGGCTGGGCGTGAGCACAGTCAATGCAGGTGAGCCTGGCCCACGCGCTAGCCAGCACTGTCGCGACCCTGAAGGCACCTGTAGCTGGGTGTGACTTCCACACAAGGCCAGTGTGGACACAGTGGAGCTCTGCCTCACTCGGGAAAGATGGACCAAAAGAGCCTCCCCGTGCATATGTGTGTGAGTGTGTGTGTCTGTGTGTGTGTCTGAGTATGTGTGTGACTGTGTATGTCTGTATGTGTGTTTGTGTGACTGTATGCGTATTTGTGTGTGTGACCGTGTGTATGTCTGTGTGTGTGTGAGTATGTGTGTGACTGTGTGTCTGTCTGTGTGTGTCTGTGTGTGACTGTGTGTATGTGCGCGCGCGCGCGGGGGGGGGGGGGCGGCTAGGGTTTAACCCAAGGCCTTTATACAATTGAGGTGAGGCATTCAATCACTCAGCTACAACCCAAGCCCTTTGACCCCTTGCCGCGCAGCACGTGCTGTATCTGAGTCTCCTTGGGAGCTCAGTGCTGACTGTTGGGGGCCTTCACCAGTAACTGAAACAGCTTAGCAAAATGGCCTGTAAGGTCAGGTCCTCTGAGGGAACTGGGCTTCCCCAGAAAGAACTCAGTCCTACTGGGACCTGCCCTGTATCTGCACACACATACCACCACCATGGCCTCAGCTTACCTTTCTGGTGATAAAGTCAAATTTGGCATCA